GCGTACTTTTCTCAAGCTTCAACTGTTACGAATGTATGCTTGTTCATAAACTGATACAAACCAAAACCAAAAAAAAAACTCCGCCAACAGATGCATTTTGTCAAAACCTTCACTTTTCTAATTATGAGTATCAACTTCCGGCACTCTGTTCTCTAAAGTGCATCATATCTCCGTCATGAGTGATCCGATCAGGTGTGGTATCGTTGGATGCATTTAAAAAAATCACTTCCCCTTTGTGAGTATCGACTTCCGCCACGCAGTTGTCGAGATATACGCCGTTGAAGTTTTGGATCCATTAGCAGATGCGTTTGGTCAAGAACTCTACTTTTCTTTTTGTAAGTACTCACTTCCGACATTCCGTTCTGGAGATATTTGGTCGTTTGTTCCTCAGGAGTATTCTACACTTCCCAGACTCTCCAGTTCTAGATTATTTTCAAAACAAAAGTCCTTTTCAATTACACAATACTAATTGGAAAGAGGTCTTAGGGCTGAACAGTTTGATGGTGGACGTATCACCGACTCTGCTCCATAATTTCTATTGGGTTTTCGGAAATACATTTAATTTCTTTTATCAGGACATATCAAAATTCCCCATTAATAAAAAAGTGAGTTTTGCACATGCGTAAACCCATTTCGTAGTATATATAAACATTGTATAACAAACATTGTATATTAAGGGTTGTTTATCATATCTGAACTATTAAATTTAACCGTTTAATGATGTTATCGATCCACATTTAATTTTTATGGGAATTTTTGGGAAGAAAAAAATTCCCCTTATGTAATGGTTTTGTCCGTCTGTGTCCGTTTGTTGCTTTGTTCCTCTTCTAACTCGAGAACGAAAAGAAATGTCAAACCTCGCTCGGTTCGGTACTAGTGAATATGAGCCGGATCAAAAGTCTGCTTTCCGAATAGGTACGAGCTGAGTGGCAAAAAATTCCCCTACTGAAAGTCATATGCGATTCTTCGTGTTAATTACGTTTTCACAGTGTTAGAATTTTTTAGTTAGAAAATAAAAAGTAATTGTTTGGCCAGTTAAATTATTGTTTTCTTCCCAATTTTATTGTAGGTAATGGCGAATAACTTGATTAAACTTTTCCTTCCTTATCATTATTTATGTACGCAATATATAATTATCATAATCTGTATGATATTTCACTTATAGATCATAATCGATTATTTTATAGTCAATTGATAAATTACACAATTCATTAATCTATAATTAAATATTAAAATAAAAAAAACCTATCTGGCTGTCCATCATCCAGAACTGATTTTTGAAAACTATGTACCCCAAATTATTAATACTCAAAGCAACTGAAAAAAAGAAAGAGTTAATTAACTGTCGGCAGACAAGCTTAGCGTCTATCTTAAATTTTGGTAAATTTTCGGATAAACTCAGTATTTTTAATGCAAGAGCATTGATTATTATATCACCCTGGTCTGCCAACAAAATGTATTATATGTTTATTTTAATTTGTTAAACAGCATACATAGTTGACGTAATTCAAGTGACATCAAGGAACCAAGTATTTGCCCACGTACGTACACTTCCCCGTAATAAAAAAGTAAATTATAATGAAGAAAAGCGAAAATATTTGCAAAGCTGTTTCTCCAGCGCCACATCTCCTGTCACCTAAAAAAGTAAAAAAAAAACAAATTCAAGGAAATGCAAACAAAAAAGAGTTGTACACTTCTCAAGCGGCGAGTCATTTTTTGGAGGGATTATTGCAAAATATATTTTATCAGACATTCGAGGTTGTTTAATTCTACATTTTTCTGTCAATCTGGCCGTAATAATCGAAAGTGAATCAAAAAACAGAAGTGAATCTACAGAATTTTTTCAATAATGTTCACTTTTTGATCCATGGATCATGGGGTTTTTGCCTACAAATTTGTTTCTGTCAAAATTTTATCTGGCCAAATTGCAGATTGAATGTTCTTGTATTATCATTTCCTACATGGCTTGCCTCACGAGCTTTGGTGTAATATTGTACGTTTATGGATATAATAAAAAAATCAAGAATCAATAAATCAAATCAAGAAAATACCAGATGGCTCCCCTAAACCCTTGGATTTCCTTTACTCAACTAAGAGATGAAATTCTGACTCTGCTCAACTGAAAAATCAAATTTTTGGAGTCATTTGACATTAGTGCAATTGCTTTTAGATTTGTTTATTGTGCATTTTGGACAAGCGAAAAGCTTTCACGAAGTCACCAGTTTCCTCATGATTTTGGAACATACGCGTCAATTATGTATGTATCTGGTCTCCTCAAACTGTCAAATACTCAGACACGATCGAAAAAGTGCAGAAAAAGTTCATCCGAGTAATGTTTTTTAGCTCAACCCAAAATTATCCACATTTGATCTCTTACGGTACCCAGCTTAATTACTTAAATAGTACTTTCGGCTTAAATATAATGAGGTTAGAAACCCGACGGTACATTGCCTCCACAATTTTTATCTACAAAATTTTACACAATTTGTTAAACTCTTCCGAATTACTTCAAGAAATTAAGCTTAAGGTACCATTTGTTAAGCTAAGGCAAAATAATACTATTTTTGCAGTTAACAACACAACTTCCCCACTTATTAAGATCTTGATCACTTTAAATAAGTTGTCCTCAGTTAATAATATCGACTTTTTTCACGATCCCCTAAATTCAAGAATAAATAAATCTTAAGTCCTAATATTTGTTCAGAGCCCCAGTGCCATGTAATTGGAATTTTTATTCTGTATGGTTTCTGGTTAAACAAATAAATAAATAAAATAAATTTGTGGCCTTACCCCAAGTAAACTGGGACATGTTTTGTTTTGAACTAATAATCTTAAATTAAGAAAATTAGCTATCTGAATCTTATTCCCACGTTATTAGCACAAATATTTATGCAAATTTCGGCATTAGTTGTTAATTGCACAATAAATATTGGTAACACGAATGCATTTCTTCTTTTTTGAGCCTGCTGCCACATCGAAGAAATAATTCTAATAGTATTTTAATGGTTTCCTGCTAAATAATCTCAGAGGTGACGATCGATGTTTTGTCATTTAATTGACCCACTTTGTGTAAAAATGTCGGCGGATGTGATTTAAATAATTCTCACGTACCTATCGCTCTCTAAACGGTTTGCTTGTTGTAACAACAATAAACAGTTTAAAGGAAACAGAAGCGGAAATTTTGAAAACAGACCTACAAAAGCCAGATGATAATTAAATACATATATGTTGTGATTTATGGACAATAAACCGACGATATGGATAAAGAAAATAGCCCAATATATATTTGTTCAGCAGATCTTGTTTACCTTGGGCGGTTCCGTTTAGGGTGCTTTTGCAACGATAATATGGCAATTAATGAAATGGGTAATTATAGTAAACAGAGCGGGGAAATTGTGTACAAAAACTTCGTTTTGCTTACAATTGAGGCACTGCAATCTTCAGATAGAGCTTCTTTGTTGGCATCATTAAAAGATCAAAAGTATCAGTTGAAGGGTTACATTCTGTTTTAAAACAATGAATAATTGTATGAGTGAACGTCTGCTTTAAATCAGAGGAGATGCACAGACGACTGCTGTTGCTGATGTGAATCGTTCCTTTTGAGGACGCATATGTTATACAGATGTGACAAAGGTGTGAGTTTTGCATAAGGAAACGACTGTATATTGTTGTAAAGATGTTATTGTTGGCTAATTTTTTGGATTTTCCGCTATATGTTTATCATAGAAGAGACTTTTTACGACATTACAAAACAAACTGCTTTTTAATGTAAAACGGTAAAAGAGTTTATGTGTGTTATTTGAATGGTTTCAAATTTATATTTTCGAGTATCTGTATTGAATGTTTCCATTAGAAGTATGTTGACGTGCCGCTCGAATAACTTTGATCTTTCTCCACTTCATTGGCTCACTTTATTCTTTATCGCTTCCCTGATTCATTAAACTCTGTTCCTTGTCTGTTAACAGTTGACGTCTGCTTCGATTTTATGTGTCTCACGTGTGTATACAATACAAGTAGATTAAATTTTGCTGCTAAGATCTATTGTCATCCTTCTCAGATGCTCGCTTGTTGGCCCATCGCTGTTGAAACAACTTCTGGAAGATATCCAATGACTGGGGATGTAAAAGCAGTTCCATTCTTTTAATTATTATGTCGTTATTGTCAGAGTAATTTATGTTATTTAAGAGTTTACAACAAAAACATCGCTGCCGGGGCGTAATCCTTTATACTATATAAAAGTAATTAAAACTGAACGGAAAGAGACAGTCACATTTTCTAACAGAATCTCGACACCCAGAGTTCTTGTTCTGAGCTGGTCTAGTAATTAACACGGACCGGAAGCGATACATCATGTCGTAATAATGACCGACACTAGAATATCTGCCCTCATGTTACTCTTATTCTTATACAGTTGGCAGTTGTCTCCTATAATCCTTGTCCAGCTCTATACCTTTAAATAATATATAACATCCTAAATACATTTTACTCACAAGAGCTTACTCTTCTCTGTTCAACACGAGATCGTTCCATATAGATAAAGAATGATTATGTCAACCATTCCGTTCATGCTAACATATGTTTCTTGCGACATCGCTTGATATTCCATTCAGAATTTTTTCGTGTTGTGAGGTTAAACCTTGCGAAACAGATTTATTCTCCGCTCCTACAGGAAGTTGCATTTATGTGACAATTGCACTTTTATTTTTCGTCGTCTTAACCGTTGCTATTATCGTAGAGTTAAGCGTAAATAAGAATGGCACTTCATTTCCAGAGGATTTAGAAATATGCACCGAGCATGGAAGATGCAGTGAATGGAGAATAAAATTGGATGGCTGCCGACATATATTTAGTAACAGTAGGCGGCTTGGCAACCTGCAAATACTTAAAAAAAAGATTGAGAATGTTCGTATGTAGCAGATGGACAATTCTAAAATGTATTTCTATACGAAACTATGCTGAATTATTCCCAATAGCAGTTGTAATTCTGATTTTCTTTGCAGACAAGTGCGATTGCGGATGAAACACAGAAGCAAATCGAACTTCAAATTCACAGGCATGAGCAGCTCTTGCAGCAACAGAAACTTCACGAATTACACGCAAAGTATGCAGCGACCGGTGCCGTTGGACCTCAAGGACTCGTTTTTCTACCTTTCCTTGAGCAGCTGCGAGGATTGCACCCGGCAGCTGTACCCCCCGGTTTGGGAAAGTCACATATACCCAATCAGGTACGTCGCAAATTCAGCAAAACGTCCCTAGCTCACATTTGATTCTCTTTCAGATGCTACCTCCACCTCATCAAGTTCCAAATTGGATATCAGCAACAGCGCATTTGGCCCAAATGTCCGCAGCCGCAATCTCGACCACAACGGACAAACGATCTCCCCCGCGTCAGCCAACTCCCTCTCCCCCACCACAAATATCCGACCCCGACGCCCCCCTCAATCTCACAAAACCTAAGTCTTCCAGTTCTGAATCGACCGGATCTAGTCCTCACAATATCCCAGTCAGTATGCAAAGCTTTAGCGAGCAGCCCGTCGCAGCTACCACCCCTAAACTATTACCTCCAGGTCTCGTGATGCCCAGACCTTTCCTAGCGTACGCGGGCTTACCGCCTCAATTCCCGCTGCCCCCCAACACAGATCGCCACAAAACGGGAAAGGAGGGCCTACTGAGCCCTGACAAACACCATTTTCCCATGCACATGTATGGATTGTCAAGCGCGTCGCACCTCACCGGTGGCAAACCTAGGGATGACCCCTCGATTAAAGACGAACCCGACTACCTTGCGGCGTGTCACAGTAAGTTATCGCCTAATAATCTAACCGCTCGTCGTCTCACGCTTAGTGTTTTTCAGTGTGGGCCGGTAGCGACCCCAGTTATAAGCTGGCCGAAGACAGCAAGGACGCGAAAATTGTAAGGCAGGTGAAGAGGGAATCCGAAAACAAACCTCACATCAAGAGACCAATGAACGCATTTATGGTGTGGGCGAAGGACGAAAGGCGAAAAATCCTGAAGGCTTGTCCCGATATGCACAACTCCAACATTTCAAAAATCTTAGGAGCGCGCTGGAAGGCGATGTCAAACGCAGAGAAGCAACCCTACTACGAAGAACAGTCGCGACTATCAAAGCTGCACATGGAAAAACATCCGGATTACCGATATCGGCCGCGACCTAAACGAACTTGCATCGTAGACGGTAAAAAAATGCGCATTTCGGAATACAAAATGCTAATGCGCCAAAGGCGACAGGAAATGCGCCAGTTATGGTGTCGCGACAGCGGTTCCGAGATGAGCTTTCTTGCACCCGGTTCGGACCTAACGTCGCCCGCGTCTACGTCAGCGGGAAGAATGTCCGTTTCTCCCCCCATGATTTCGATGAACGGTGCGGGGCCGAGTTCCGAAGGATTTTATCACAGTGACAGTATTTCCCCAGAAGCGATGAGCTTTATGCACGAACATTCTGCCTACGATTCGAGTCCCAGACATGATGATGACTGAACCTGAGTTTCAAGGGAACTGAGCTTCCCTTGGTATTAACGAATTCACGGGCGGATACGAGTTGGAAAATCGGTGACTTACTCGAATAAACGACATGACAAAGTATTTTAAATTATTTATTATCTCGACAAAGGAATTTGTATATATAACATACTTTCCTTTTTTTACGAACGCTCGAACTTATCCAGATGTCAGTGTCCCTTAACACAGTGTTCTCGAGGGCAGTTCAAATTCAAGTGTGCCATCTAGTTGACGCAAATGTGAACTTTTACGAGACTTATAAAAAATTATTGGTTATTATTATTATTATCACAATTATTTGGTGTTGTAGTTGTATTGTTATGTAGATATGCCATTCAGATTTTCATGTTATTTATTTACATTTAGTTATATATCGAAATTTGTTTTTCTCTTTTATTGTAAATTCTTGTAAAGTTTTATATGTGTTTTTTTACATTGCATATACGCGAATAAATTTATTAACAGTAACTTTACATAGTGCTCAGTGTTTTTGGTTCAAGTGCAATGTCATTTTCATGTATATTATTTTCTACTGTTGATGTTTGTATATTTTAATGTTAAGAGCCAGTACTTTAACTAATATTATTTATTTTAAAGTTATTTGTACTTGTACAGTGCCCTATTTTTACCGAATCTGTACTTATAAGTGCCCTGCGCCAATCGCTACCTATCGGTAGAGGTCTTAATTTTTTTTATAATCTTCATCTGCAAGTACCTGGGCACTTCTACTTAATCCATTTCTGTTTTAGAAACGACATATTGTAAATTTTGTTATTTAATTGTTGCAAAAACAATCAAAATTTTATATATTTTATTTTACAATCAGTACAAAGTTGTTTGTTTTTGCAATTAAATCGATGAACTTTACAATCACCACGTATTTAACCTTAAAAAATAATATTGTTCATGGGTATTTAAGCAAGTAGATTCTAGAATGTAAATACTTTTAAAAAACAGGCGACGACCTTTGCAAGCCAATTTTTATTTTATTATTACAACTAATATTTCTCGAACGCCCGCATTTTTCATTGATCCAATGTTATTTCTTTGCAGTATTTAGTTATAAATTCCCTCTGAAGCAGCTTATGATTTGAATCGTTATGGGGCCATTTTTATTAAACAAAATATTAGTTGTCTATAAAGAAAGGTTAGAGAAGTGTTATAATTGTATTTGATGATAAGTTAAATAAAATGTGATACCTGTAATCTACATAGGTATAGTTTATTTGAAGTATGTAGTATTTTAAATTGAGACGTAAAGCACTAGTGTTGAAAAAGTGAAACGGAGAGAAAGAGCAAATGTTTGTATGCATTTAAAATATTCCTTAATGCATATAGGGCTAGTGAATGTTGTTTATAAAAATACCATAATCAATGTGTAATGTCTATGAAATATTAAAAAAAAATGCATAGACCTGTATCTCAAAAACATTTAAAGAAATGATTACTAGAACTATAGGCTCACTGTTTTCTGTGCCAAATTCAAGGAAATAAATTGTAAAATGTACAAATTATAACGCTGTTTATTATTTTACCATATTACCACTAACGACGCCTACAAAGTGAAATTGCAAAAGGTAAGGTTTTCCACTGAAAATGCCGAATTTATTTCACTCAAAAAAGCTTCTCTATCTGCGCGAAATATCCAATCACAGGTAAACAAATTAGTTATAAAATTAGTAAGTGCCGATCAGTCGATCTATTAATAAATCAATTAGGGCATTACTTCACGAAATAATGCAATGTGGACTTACGCGGAGTTAATTTGGATGGTTCGCAAAAAAACTTTTTTATCTGAGAAAAAGTGTACCGAGTTTCTTTTTTCAATGCCACTAGACTATACGCCATATATGGATAAAAATATGACGACATAATTGATGTCTCATTATAAGTTTGTAGGTTGCAGTAATATTTTATACCGAAAAGAACAAAAATTGTTGGTTAAATAAAACAAAAAGGGCAACTTTGTTATCTGATTTTGTGTCACGTTAGCGAGTGAAGCAATGAATAATTTTAAATATTAATGGACGACATTTATTTTAATGTCAATTAACGCGACGAAAACTTTTATTTTACACACTTTGGTATTGTAGTTTTTTGCGTTCTCTTGTGTTGGCCTGGTTGTAAATTGGCACATCTGTGACAGTCTATTCTTGTAGATAAGGTATCTGTATTACTTGGGAATAAATGATTCTTCATTTACACCTAAAATAGTCAATAGGCATAAATGTAAAGTAAAACATGTTTTATATTAGGTATATTTTCTCACGTCTAGAACTAGCTTCAATAAAACCTATTTAAATCACAATTGGAGCAAAGGTTCTTTGATAGATTTTTTATTTGAAACTCGAGCCTTTCTTACGTTTCATCATTGAATAAGTTATTATTCAATGGTTTCATTCACTTTTGTAAACCTTTTACAATTTTTACACTCTGTATTCTGTCCCAAAATATCGAATTGATTCAAACAGACGTTATAAGATTGGAAGCTTTTATTTTTAACTAAATCAATAGTAGCGGAAACTTCAAAACAAATAATAATATATAATATAGTAACTAGTTTAGTAGAAAAGTGTAATTTAAACTGGTTAAAGTTGCACAATAGAATCAAGAACGCCTAACCTCAAGCAACTCGTACTACACACTATAATGCATGTCATGGATAATAGGGGGTGGATTGTTATGTACCGTAAAGTAGGTACAGCTGTAGGGTAACCCCTAACCTATGCATTTTTGAATACAGGATTGTCTTTTGCAAGAGGCTTGCATGTTTCTAGAGTTATCGAGGACGTGCATCTCACAATTTGATGGAAATTTTTAGTGTTCGATAACCCAGCATAAACATTTTGCCTAAATTCTGCATTAAAATGTACAGAGGGTTGCTTACATCTAGGAGACATTCTATGACTGCAAGAATGAGTTTTTACGTTGAGTGAAGGAATCCTTCACTCAACGGTTTTTAGGTTGTAGCATTGGCAAATTTATTACAAACATCTGACTTCGATCAAAATCACGAAAATGTTCGAAAGCTGGAAATTTTCAATGGTAAAATAATTTAAGTTAAGATTTTTGAATTCTCTATTAATATTACGAGTATAAAAGAATACGAGTGTTAGCTTGGAAACACCGAATTTACGTGAAAAGCAGGTGGAACTCGAAATTCCAAAATATCACAACTAACAAAGTGCCAGCTCACTAAACTAGTGATTTTCACCATTCAAGTCTAAACGAGATACTTTTTAACAACCACCTCCAGTTTGATCACCCTTAAATTTATTTACTGCTATGCTTATTTTTATTCTGTGATTTATATGGATCCTTTTGCACAGAACCTGCACGAATCACGTATCCAATTCGGTAGTAACGATTTGAATCGCGAAGATTTTCTTCGATTAATACACTCCATTAATATACGGCCAATCAGCTTGGTGATTGGTTAAAATTCTAACCAATCAGATGATTTGTTATCTGATTATTAAAATCTAGGTAGCTTTTTATCAGCGATAAAAATGCCTGTAGGAATGCGTAAAATGTATAGTGGTTGTAAAATTTACTGTCTTTTATTAATCGCCTAAATCAGGATAATTTTATTTTTAATTCTCTCAAATTGTGTTGCCTCCTGGAAAAAACTCTTGATCAAAAGCACACGATAAATTTTATCACACTTTGGATCTCTAGTTTTTCTCGTTGCAACAAAACTTTCGTGTAAAAATAAAATTATCCGATTAAAAATCAAGCTCTTGTGTATTTACCCTCGAATAATTTTCTAAATCACCTATTGCAGAGAATTAGAGATTCAAATGTTTCACTTACACATTTTTAAATAGCAATGAGAATGAAAATGATTTTTTTTGTAAACTAAAGAAAAGAAAATGTTATTTCCACCTCATAGGTGTGACAACAATCGATGTTTTGTAAAAAAAGATCGATACCCCAAAATTATAAAAAGAGGACAGACATCTCGGCACTCTTGTTGTTGTAAAAATTTACTCCAATTTTGTTGTTGTTCTTGTTTCTTGAATGATAGCGTTTAGATTAGTTTTTTAGTTTATTACTTTGACTACAGTTGTTCATTTAGTTTACATACCGTATGTCCCAGGCAAACAAACACTCAAACAGAATAATGTATTTTTCGCGAAAGATCCACGAGACCTTTGATATGTATTTCAAGTTCGAATTTAACGTACGTGGCGGTACAGGAAGACTCGGCTTCGGGACAACTCGGTTTCGGGATTACTCGACTCCGGGATCGCTCGACTCTGTGACCCAGTGGCGTAACTTCATTTTAGGGGCCCGTGTTCAAAAACATTTGAGGGCCCCTTGGATTTCTAATGGCAACCATCTCACAACTATAAATGAAAATTCACTAGAAATCCACCCCAGAAGATTTAGATTCTTGAACAAAGATAGCACCCTCATATCGATCTTCTGACGTTACTCGACTCAGACCTTTTAAAAAAAATTGATGCTGTAGCTACAGGAATTGCTTGTGAAGGCTTCAAGAGTTGATAATTTTAAACAATTTATTTCTTCGCTGTTCAGCGTTTTTTCTTGCTTTTCTCTTAGAGGTCCCACTTTGCGCATTTTCGTCCACTCTGAGATATTAGATTAAAAAAAACCGTTGGTGTAGGTACATAAAGACACCGCTGGAGATACATTAACCTTTAATACAATGCTTTCATTTTACAACAGTGTCACAATTCTTATATCAACCATTTTTAAACAATGTTAGTCTGTATATGCAGGAAATATTCTCTTGATTTAGCTTTGCTGATTTTGCATTATGAAGTTCCTCGTACAAGCCCATTGTAAAATTTAGTGTCACTTTGTTTTCTGCGTTCAATGAGAGTCCAGTTGATTTTGTTCGAACCATAATTGTCAAGTTTACAAAATTACAAAAGGTAATGCACTTAATTGTAATTGTAATTCTTCATTTTATTGTGAATTGTATTGCCTTCACATACTTGTAACTAGCGGTAGGTGACCCTTGAATTTGTTTTTTATTTGCTTGTTTCACTTTAAATGTTATTCTCGTTTTTATTTATTTAAGATTGGCCAGTTAATGTTTTTCTGATGTTTAAACTCCTTTAGTTTGATTGGCGACTTCAATTCTTTGTGTATGAATCTGCGTTTTTTGACGTGCATGCTGGAGTGCTCACATTAATCTCGAAATACAACTTCTCGTAGCCGGGACCTTCAGATACCTTCTGAATTGAAGAAGGTCCCGCTAATTAACAAAGTATTTCATGTACTTTATGTAAGAAACTTCGGTATGTTATTTTTCACAACTGGGAATGGAGTGGAGTTGCTTTTAAATCTATTTGAGCTGGCTACTTTTGAGCATATCAAATTTTGTATTAGATTAAAGTCAAATTTAAATTATTCAAATTCAAGAGTTACTTCCTCGGATTGTTAATTTTTCTATTGTAGATATTGCCCCAAATTTTTCACCTATATTTACCCTCCGTGAACAATGATTCGGAAGTTTCTTCGGCTCGGTTCTTTTTCACGGCATGGCTTTGGCTTTAAATGCATATTCTGTCTAAATTCGTAGGCGGCAATTCGATTCATTTTACACTTTTAAATAAACTTTCTTTTGCAATTCAAATTCACTATTTATTTATTTCCGAATTAAATTTTTTGTACATTTTTGCCGGGACCCTTTGTAAGTTGGGGCCCGTCCTCATTGCGTACCTTTGAAGCATTGTAGTTACGCCACTGCTGTGACCACTCGACTCCGGGACTATTCGGCTGTCGTGTTACCCTGCACCGAATGATTTGGCTCTGAAAAACCTTGTTTGGATGGTTTACAAGAATCTTTATAATTGCACTGAAAATATAATATGCCGATATGCAAGTATGTAGTCCATACAAAACTCGGTTCACTCTTATATGGTGCATATCCACTGCAAAGCTTGTACTTTTGTGATGCATCCAATATTTTTGTTTTGATGTTTGATTATGTTTACAAGGTTCACAAAAAAACAAAAAAAAACCTATAACTGCATGGTTTTGAAATTACTTGTAGATGTACACTGTTCACAATCATGGTCGGTGTATCATAAAAGTTATAACCCCCGCAATGTAAGTATACTGTAAGTGATAGTTTGAATTACTTAATTCAATATACTTAATACGAAACAGTTTCTTTAAACAGGAAAAAATGATGATTTTTCGTTAATTATTTTCTGTAATTTAGATTAGACGTGTGTTTGGTTTGCTGTTAGATGAATCAATATTTTTAATGCTATATGATAGTTTCGCTATATTTTTAAAGAATTTTTTTAATCTTTGACAACAGAGGCACTATTCAGAAAAAAGTGAGTGCAACTAAATTTATACACATACGTGAAGGACCATTTTCCAAAACATGAAGGAGGTGATGTTTTTTATTTAAAGAAGAAGCTATGACTATAAGAAAATGAGTAATACATCTTTCAGGTTAGGAAATGCTTCTTTCTGGTACACTAAAGTTATAAAATTTCGTAATTTGTCGAACCGTACCTA